TTTCTTCCATTAGGAACTCCTCAAATTTCACCCAAATGGGAGCGAAGGTGGAATAAGAACCACGTTTGGATGGTTGAGAAATCCTAAAACGGTCGCTATACTTAAACTTATTTTTTTCCATTATCTACAGGTGCTCTCCCAGATTGAGTTCTACAACAAGGTTAACTTCCATGCCAAACTTTTTGTGTGATGTGATAACAAATTACAAATTAACTAATCGAGTTATTTCTGTACCCTTTTTGCGAATCCACTTATTTAATACATCAATAATATGTTAGACAGAATAGAGTTATTATTCACCCATTCTTCTTGAGTGCATGCATCAAAAGCGTTTATTATTCCCAATAAAAATAGGATAATTCTTTCCTTGCTCATTCCGAAGGCTGTAGTTCATTGCTGTCCTATAATATATTTTAAGAAGTGAGCCCATTTTTATTTCCCCATTACCTGCACGCATGTACACTCAGCAAGTGCTAACTTCTAATTTTAATTCCCTCAGTAAGATCTTTCATTAAAGCTTCACATCGACAATAAACACCTCTGCACATGACGCATACTTCTCCAAATGTGTTGGCTGTCAAGGCTATCAAACTATTAAATAATAAATATATTGATATCCTCTTCGTAAGAGTAGATGCCTTTGCCGTAGATATCCGGTCAAAACAATGGAATAGCCTAGCTGCTATGTTAACTAATTTGCGAGTATATCATGTGAAATGCCTGTTTAATTTGTTTTTGGTATGTAAGTAGAGTTTCAGGACTACCAGTAAATCAGTTATATAAGATGTATTTACCTATTCCTCCTGCTTTCCCAAAAGTTTTTCTCATCCATGTGAAATTCAATGGAAACGTCAGCTCTAATCATATCATCGTGGAAAGATTCTACTACCGCTCCTTCATCACCTTACACGAAATTGGGTGAATACATATGATATTACTTGTTTAATTTGGCGGAAAGAAATCCAGTTCTCTTCGTAAGAAGAGATCCTAAAGATTCTTTGGAGATACAGTTTATAAATTATCTTATACTTGCCTTACTTACTAGAAGGTTGTTTACTTCTTGTTTCCCTCAATTAAAATCCATCCAAACAAATTTAATTTCCAATTCTTTTATAGAAGTAGGTTGACCTCGTTGTCGCAACTTGGTCTTGTTGTCAGGGCGACTTAGTAGAACTCACCTAGTCCGAAGTCGTCTGTCATAGTAGTTGTCATGATTCCCAGCATCAGACAATGGACGTGGTACATTCTCAAACGTCTCGCCGACATCGTAGTCGGCATCATCAGTCAGTTTTGCCATTCTCCGCACCGAGCTACGAACTCGTCAAAGAGACAAATGAAGTCAATCCCTCGTGAAGGGGAGGCCTGATTTCTGCATACACGGCCATTACTGCTCAGTGAAGCGGCAGTGTACATGCTTCTAGGGCCTTGAAAAATAGCGCCTAGAGAGAAATGCCTAATGGGACTGGAACCGAGTGAAATCGGTCAACCAGAAAGATATGGAACGGATCTACGAGACAATGCGGGGATCCGGATCGGAGGCCCAAGTCGGATCAGGCGATCGAAAGAGAAGCCTCGGGGTAAATAGCAAGTGTGATGAGGCCACACTAGATTTGTGGAATGTAAACAAGTGAGAAGTTGCGATAGGGCGCCGGTGGGATTAGAGGGTAAAGAGTAGATAGATAGACCAGGACAGAAAGACGAGTGATAGTGTAACCGTTTTCGAGAAATTGACTTCACTTGTCTCTTTGAAGAGTTAGTAACTTGGTGTGGAGAATGGAAAAACTGACTGATGC